TGGACTCTGCCAAGCAGGTGCTGCAGCCACGCCCAAGGGCACAATAGGCCCTTACTACGGGGGCGGGGAGACTGCCTGTGGTTTCAGCAGAGGAGTTCCTGCCGGCAGCCACACCTGAAAGGTTCAGTTTTACCTGTCCAATTCAGAACTAGTCACAGGGATACGCAAGGGCGCCATGTACTGTGCTGGGCAATGTTGGGCCCCTGGGCCAGATTTGAGTCCCTTCCTCAAAGACCACCCCTCGTCCCCCTACTCCCTCCCCATCTCAGGAGAGAAACAAGCATGTTTACAACCAACTCCACCATAAAACAAATTAGAATCATGGTTATGGGACAGGACAGGAGAGGGCCAAGTGCTTCAGGAGCTCAGAGGAGAGATTCTGAGAAAAGATGTTTGAATGGGCCTTGAAGAATGAGTAGGAGTTCGTCAGGGCTTGTGCACTGATCAGTCAGGAAGGATCTTTTTAGGGACTTCCCTCAAAAGTCCAGTAGAGACAGGACAGGCCTAGCACATGGAGCTGGAGGCAAAGAAACAGAACATGGGAATGTCCAGGCTGGGCCTGGATCCAGGGTCCTCAGGGGGCAGCCAGGCAGGGTCCCTGGGGCACAGAGACTTGGTCCAGGTGGGGGTGGGGAGGGTCCCTGCAGAGAGTGATAAATGGATGGAAGGCAGCTGAAGGCAGGCGGAAAGGAGGCTTCCAGCTGGCAATGAAACCAGGTTTGATGAGCTGTGGATGTGGACAGAGGAAACGAGATCCCTTAGAGAGAGGGTCGAATAAGGGGTGGGAAGAGGAGAGCCCGAGGACCTTATCAACCTACAAATCCTGCTAAATTGGGAGACTCAGGCCTTGAAGGGATTGTGGCAGGTGGGCAAGGTTAGGGAACAGGAGGGGTACCTGGGCCAGAAGAGGGCCAGCCTTCTGTGCTGTATTCTTGGGAACTGCCTCCTTCCCCTCCCAGAGGGGAAGGAGGCAGAGCCCCTTGCAGAGCCCCATTCTCTCAGGGAACTCCTAAGGCCCCCTCTCATGGCGCCCCTCCCCTCCAAGCCTCCTCCCCCTCACTGAATCGCCTTCTCCTCCAGGAGCCCCCAGCCCCTCACTGCACACCAGAGGGTCATTATCAGATGAGAGCAGCCTCAGGCAGAAGGGGTCGGCCTTTGGCCATGTCCTTGATGTCAGTCCCCTGGCGTCAAGGACCCATGCCTCTCTGGGAGGCACCCACCAGGTCTCCAGTGAGTGCCCTTTCCCCCACCCAAGCCCTCACTCCAGGTGGTCCTTAGACTGGAGTCTCCTGGAAAGCTAGCTCTCAAGTCACCAGCCCCCCCAACTCCCACCCCTTAGCAGCAGTCTGGTCGGTGGAGGGCACAGCCCAGATGTGAGCAAGCCATGGCTACTTGGCCTGTAAAATAGGGAGTCGTTCTGAGAGTCCCATGGGCTAAAGATGTTTGGGGCTTCCCCACCTCCAGCCAGTCCCCATAAGGTGCTCCACAAACACTGGGCACCCTTGCTCTGTTATAGAATCTAGTCATTAATATCCATTTCTACAAACACTGGTTCATTCGAGCTTATTTACCAGGTTCTCAGGCATTTGACAAATATTCCCACTAGTCATAGGAACACACATTCTTTGGCCCCATTAAAAAGCAATCCCTTCCCTAATATTGATGGATGGCTGGTTAATTCACTGGTGATTGATGCTGCTTTGGAGTCACCTTCCCCGGCAGCCTCCGTGGGCAGCCTGCAATCACCAGAGGGCCAGGATCAGAGCCCCCACTGTGTGGTATGCTGCTCCCACCCCAGCCCCAACTCCCTCCACACACACCCACCTATGCCCCTTCCTGTGAGGACTCACAGGGTGCACAGAGTTTGGAGCTTGGAGGCCTCCCTTCTCCCTGTTCTGTTTCCTCATCCATCAGATGGGAAGAGGAAGGCTGCCCACCGCCACAGAGCTGCAGGGAAAAACAAATTAGTGACCAAGGAAGCAATTATTTAGGAACCTCCAGGTCTGGGCAGAGACGGGCAGAATGACACAATTTCTAATCTGGGGACCTCTTTGAAAATGCAGTGTCTCCTTACCGCACCCCAACCTCAGAGGGCCATCCGGGGAGCAACAACGAATCTGGCCTGTCCTTCCCTTGTGACCCCTTCCTGGCGGGGACACTAAGACAGGTGTCACCGCCCTCCCCGTCCCCAGTCCCCTGGCCAGACCTTTGACTTTTAGCCTGAGGCTTTGGCACGGCAGCTGGACCCCCTGCATGGCCTTAAGCTGGCAAGTGCTGCCACCCCAAGGAGTGGATGGTTTGGTACCAGCCTCCCTATCTGGGCCCTTGCCTCTAGGGAGAAGAGGTGTGGAAAAAGGCAGGGAGCCTAGGACCACTAGATCCTCTGTCCCTCCTGCTCTGAGACAAATAGTCCTTTTTTTTAAAGATTTTGTTTGTTTATTTGAGAGAGAGTATGAGAGAGAGCACGAACTGGGGCAGAGGAGCCGAGAGAGAGGGAGAAGCAGGCTCCCCGCTGAGCAGGGAGCCCGACTCGAGGCTCGATCCCAAGGACGCAGGATCATGACCCGAGCCTAAGGCAGAGGCCCAACCAAGTGAGCTACCCAGGGCCCCCAAACAGTCCTTACTATTTATTGAGCAGCTACTATGTGCCACCCACTGCACAAAGTGCTTTGTAAGCATCATTTCCCTTAATCCTGTGACGTCCTTGGAAGACAATTTACTACCCCATTTCACAGATGTAGAGGCTGAGGCTGAGAAGTGTATGGACTTGTCCAAGGTCACAGAGCTAGAAAGTGGGGGGTGCCAGGACTCAAAAATAGGACTTCCTGGCTCTTGGCCTCTTCCCTTACTCATGGTCCAACGTGGCCTTGGCTGAGGGTTGACCTCAAGAGGCATGAGGGAGCAGGAGACTTGGAGGTAGTGGTTGTACCCAAGATCTCTTTGCCCAGCTTCTCGGGTCCCCAGCTTCTCCCAGCAAGATGTCCCGGGGCATAAAGGGGTCCTCCCCAAGTCTCCACGTCCATTCGGTCCAGCCCTCCCGGCCTCCCAGTGACATGTGCTGGAATCCTGGAGCCTGCTGGCTCTAGGCTGAGCCCTAAGTCCCTTCCTTGCACGTGTCCTGTTCCAGGTCTCAATGAAACCCTGACTTCTGCTCCTACCGCCCAGCCTCATATGCTCCACAGACCCCAGGAGTCCGGGGAATGTGGACCCTGGCCTGAAGCCCATCCCATTCAGCTGAGGATCTGGCCCAGCCTCGCTTTTGGACCATCTCCTCCCCAACCCCTCTGGGCCCAGGGCCCCATGCCTAACGGCCCAGCCAGCCTGTCTCTCCCTCCCAGAGCCCTGTGAGCTGGGGGCTGGGCAGTGTGGAAGGGCCTCTGCTGTTTGTCTCTATGCTGCTGCCAATGACAAGCCTGTCTCCCGAGGAGAAGGTGAGGCGGGAGGAGTTCCTCCGTGCCTCCACTGCTCAGAAAGTGCAACCACTCCTTCTTCCTGGGCATCAGGAGAGCCCAGCCGACCAAGGGCTCTGCACTGCCCAACAAGAAAGGCCAAGGCACCTCCAGCCAAATGCCCAAGTCTGAGGCTAACAGGGACTGGGGTGGACATTGATGAGCCAAGACCCAGGCTTGGAAGAGAGGGGCCCCTGCTCTTGCAGGCATGACTTAATCCTCCCTACGATGGGCCACAACACAGGTGCCTGGACCTGCAGAAGGACAGAGCACAGCTGGGGGTCAGGGGATGCGTGCTAAGAAGGAGCTAGTGCTCCTCATGTAGCCCCTGATATCCTCAGTCGGTCTCCAGGCCCCAGACATCCTGCGTCCTTGATGGATTGTTGTCCACTTCTTCGCCTGCATCCTCCTGGCCACTCTCTCGCTCCGACTCACCATCTCCTGCACAAACCCCTACAGTAGCCCGGGACCAGCCTCCCTGCCTCCAGATCCCTCCCCTCCAGCCGTGCAGCTACCAGAGCCAGATGTCCAAAATGAAAAGCCAGCCTGCAAACAGTTCGATGCCTCTCCATCACCAGCCACTTGTTTGTCAAAAAAAATGTGGATGCCACATGTGGCAGACAAGGTGCCAGATGCTGGGGACACAGTGGCAATCCAGACAGACAAGGCCCTGCCCTCAGGGAACTCCCAGGCCAGTGTAGGACACAGAGGAGTCAGTCAACAGGTAGACTAGCACGAGAGCCACCTGGAGGTACAGGCTGCTAAGGAAACACAAACGTGGTCACCTAACCTGGTGGGGCGGGGGTATCCGTCCAGCTGTAAACATTCCACGAGTCACGTCTTTGTGCTTAGCCATGATTATTTCCACAGGGTAAACCTGCAAGTTAATTTTATGAGTCAAAAGATGTGCCCGTTTTTTAAGGCTTTTGCAAGGACTTGCCAAATTGCTCTCCAAAAAGGCTGGGCCAATCCCAAACACCTGTTGGAGAAGTTGGGGGTGGGGGAGAAGGGAGGAGAAGAGGAGGGAGGATAGCCATGGGGTCCCTGAGGGGCAACGATGTGCCATTTTCATGGACTCCATGCTCCATGCGGAGGCCTGGGTCTGCTGTGTGGACAGAGCGGCTGGTGAGCGGAGGACAGACACAAGACAGGACCCGGTTCCTGTTTTGCCGCCACCATGTTTTCCATCTGGGACAATGACCTGCAGCCCAGGAAGGGGGGAGTGAGGGGTTTAGGACCCCGAGACTCATTCAGCAACAGACAGGTGCTGTGTGCCAGGCACAGGGCAAGGGGCTGGGTGAGCAAAGATTCCCCCCCACCCCTGCCCTGGGGCAGCATGGACATGGCTGGAGGGGGACATGCCAGAGATGCTGAGAGGCCCTGCAGCAGCTGTCACAGGGGCTGCAGTGAGAGAGGATCATGGTGGACCCCAGGGCGTGGGAGTAAGGGTGATCATTCTGGACTTTGGTCCCTAGCCTGAGCCTGGGCTTAGGGAGGGAGGGAGAAGGGAATAGAGAAGTCAGGGGTTTCGTTCAAGACCAGACCTCCCCCACCTCCCCTGACAGACTGGGAAACAATGGATCTAGCACTGGGATCTGGGACAAGCCACTTGGCAGCCTTGCTCGTGCAGAGGTTGGGATGCTCTGAGGACTTCCCAAGGCTGTTGTGAGGATCAGATGTCTTTGAAGCCAGGAAAGCAGAAAAGGCCTGGATCTTCATTTCTCCCTTAACATGTCTCCAGAGAGTGACTGTAGTCTGGATGTGGGCGGGCAGTCTGCCCTGGGAGTAGAGGAGGACTGGCAGGAAGGGCACAGCCTCCGCTGGACAGTCTCCCCACCTCTAAGAACAACAATTCCTTTAGTTCATTTGGTTGTTTGGCTGGTTGTTGCTTGTTTAGTTGGTGGTTTGCCTGGTTCGGTGCCAAATGGGTAGGCCTTGAGCTTCCCCAGCGCTGAAAGCCTTGCTTGGTGGTGGGACCTCGGACGGGTCATTGCAAGCTGGAAGGTGCACCTGTGATGGGGGGGTGGGGGCAGGCAGGGAGGGAAGGAAAGCCAAGACAGCAGACCTCACCTTCCCCGCGCCCCTACAGGTACTCAGAGGAGGAGACCCGGCAGAAGGTCAGGACTTTCCGGCAGATGCTGATGGAGAAGGAGGGAATGCTCACCAGGGAGGACCGGCCTGGGGGCCACATGTGAGTGCTCCCCTGCCTGGGGGTGGGACAGGGGAGGATGTGAGCTCAGGCAGCCAGCTGGGTGCCAGAAGGGCCTTTCCAGAGGGGGTTGGCGGGGGGGCGCAAGGTGGAGGAGAGGGCATGCATCCCATCCATTGGAAGCTCCAGGTTGGCCCTGGGCACAAATCAGGGGCCACTGGGCCCCCCAGCATCCCCCAGGGCTCCCCTGCTATGGCTCAGTGGTGGGGAGGCAGCCCAGAGCCCAACTTGGGGAATCCTGGGCTGCAAATCGGGGAAACTTAGAAATGTTCTGATCCCAGGCATGGCCACTGGCTGACAGTGTGGCCCCGGGGCAGTCCGTCCTCCCCAACTATTACCACCTGTAAAATGGGCCCCAGAGTAAACATGGGTTCTGGAAAGTAGGAACCAACACACCAAATGCCATTGCTCGTGTGGCCAAAGTCTCGTCGGGCAACAAGAACAAGGGCTCTGCGGGTCATCTCTTGCTCCTGTCATGGGCCAGGAGGAGTACCAGCGTGCCATAGGCCCCTGGGCATCAAACAGGGAAGTGATGGGGCAGCAGATTTGTCTTACGTTAGAGACCTGGGAACCACTCAAAGCCAGAGGAGAATGCAGCAGGCTGCTGTGAAGATGGTGGAGGCAGCCTGTCCCTGCCAGTGTCCAGGCCGAGGGGTGGGGGTAGGGGGATGGCTGACTGAGCCCCATGCCCGGCAGGCAGTGTGCATGGAAGGAGCATCACGGAATCCACTCAATGGACCTTCCCCTTGCTCAGCCTCGGAGCCCCCACCCAGTTCTGGTTCTAGGTGGGACTGAGGCTGGGTGAGCAGCCAGGGTAAATGCTCCTGGCATTTCCTCCACGGTGGGACTAACTTGGGAAGCGAGCCTCTTGCTGAGGCCCTAAACCCCTGTCACCTTATCTCACACAAATCAAAAGGACAGCAACACCTTCTGAGAGATTTTCCCATTGCTGTTTTCGTAAGGACAAACGGCCCTTCGGGAGTAGACGGACCTGGATGGGCAACGGGGAAGCCGTTTCTTCTTCCTTCTGGACCGCTGAGGGCTCCAGGGGTGGGGGAGTCCCGCCTGACCTCACCTAAACCTCACCTCTCTGGTTCGGGGTTGCGTAGGAGCAAACATGGTCAGAGCAGCCCCAGGCTCGTGGGGGGCTCATGGGTGATCTGGGGGAGCCAGGCTCAGAGGTGATGAGGTGATGCTACCACCACCGCCCTCTCTCCAGCCACCCAGAACTCACAGCGCCCCCAGCCACTCCTGCGCCCTCCCTTCAGTGGTGCCCATCCAGCCCTACCCACCCAAGGGCAGGGTCAATGCCTCTCTCCCCTTCCCAGAGCTCCTGACAACCAGATCCTCCTCCAAACCAAGACTTTCTGACCTGTGGCCCCTCAAATCACCCCAGAGCTTTTCTGGAAAGTCACGCTCTTCCACACAGTGTGAGGGCAGGAGGCCTGTGTGGACTCTCCGGCCATCTTCCCTGGCCCTTCCAGCAAGGAAGGGCCTGCCCTTCTTCCCTCTCCCGGGCTCCTTCCTTTTAATGAAATTCCCATCCTTCCTCAACTCCACTTCCTCCTCTGGCCACCACCCTACGTCTTTCTCTCCTTTTTCAACCGAATTTCCGTGGAGTGTGTGGCCCACTTGGCCTCTACTTCCTTGGGCCACGGGAGCCATGGTGGGTTTCTGCCCTCCCCTGCTCGCCCTGTGGCCTCCAGAGTCCTATTCCTCTTGGCCCTGTGCCTCTCTGCAGGCCTGGCCTCTCTCTCTGGCAGGTGCTTCCCCATCTGGAAGCCTCCTCTTCCCCTGGCTTCCAGGGTGCGGTTCTGTGTCGCCCCCTGCCCCGCTGGTGGCTCTCTCTGTCTCTCCTGCTCCTGCCCTCCTCCCAGATGTTGGACCCTTCCCTCCACTCCCTGGGGGGAATCTCATCTGTGAGCCAGCTGGGACTGCCTCCTCTGAGCGAGTGACTCTCCAGTCTTCTTCAGTCGTCTTGATCTTATCTTCCCTCGGATGAAGGAATGATGCATTTAGGAACCAGGGAGGGTCTAGTGCTGCACGCCTCCCCCTGTGCCAGTGCTAGGAGTGGGGAGGAGAAGCAGGGAAGGTGGGGCCCCCGCCCTCTGCAACCTGAAGCCAGGAATTACCAGCAACTCCTGACCAGAAGAGACAACAGGGTGGCCCCTTGAACCCCTTAGCCCTTGGGCCTTGTGTGTGTTCAGTGGAGGAAGAGAGAGAGGCAGGTGGGGGTGGTCAGTCAGGAAGGGTCCCTTGGAAGGGGCAGTGTCTTGGAAGACTTGGGGGTCAGGGAGGACTCCTGCTCTGGAGGCAGAGGTGAATATAGCCTTGACCAGGGGTCCTGGGATCCCACTCTCATGTTGGAAGACATTGAAGACACAATCTTTACTGGTTTTGTTTACTGCTATCTCCCTGGTGCCTAGAACAGTGCAGCTTGCCTGATTTTCCCCGAAGTTTGTCTCCTCCTCTATATGGGAAAAGGGACAGGGTCAGAGGCTTCTCCTAGCTCAGGCAGCCCAAATGGTGTGAAAATAGCACTCCGGTGACTACAGCAAGCCAAGGAGGCTGATGGCTGCCTGGAATCCTCACAGGCTGGGAGGAGCTAGCTGTTTGCGGTGCTGAACCCAAGGCCCAAGGCAGAGAGGTGACAGGGAGCTGGTGACAGATTGGCCTGCCTTCCTGCGGACCGGGCATCTGAGCCTGTCTTCACGTCCTAGCTCAGAGTCTGGGGTAGTGGAAGGAGAGTATGGGCTCTGGTGACAGACACCTCACCTGCCCCAACCTCTAAGCTCAGTGTGAACAGCCTGGGCCCTGGTTGCCAACTCTGCCACACCCCAGCTGTGTAACGTGGGCAGGTCCTTGACTTCTCTGGGCCTTTGCTTCTTTATTTATACAGTGGAGCACCCGGCAGTCCCTGTGCTTATGCATCTGGCTTCCTGCCCCTGAGACCCCAGCCCCTCATACACTGGCATTTTGAGACATGGAGAAATCCCGATGCCCTCTTAGAGTGAGGTGACAAAGCCAGAGCCAGTGGAAGGGTCACCACATGGGGAGGAAGTGAGGAGGGAGGTCTGATTTTAACGCGCTATGGACTGTAAGAGCCCATGGCACCTCCCACTCAAGAAAAGAGTCTCGATGGGGCAGGGTCACTCCCAGAGCTTTTTGTCCCCAGGGAGCATCTTTTTTCCTTAAGTTAATCGACTGGTCTGAGTGACAGCCCCTTGAGACAGACCCCCTTCGGTCTACTCTCCACCCTGGATATAGGACATCTATTCCATAGATGATGGGAGCCAGTGGAAGGTTTCTGGGAGGTGTGATGTGGTCAGACAGGTGTTTGGGGACTTTCCTCTTGGGAAGAGGAATCAGAAGGGTGACACGGCAGGGAGATTAGTGGGGCAGCTAGCACTCTAATCAGGAAGCGAGGCGAGAGAGAGCACGTCCCAGAGACATTGAGAGAGGACACGCCTTTGTCCTTGGAAACTGATCCATGTGGGGAACCTGTTTCTCCTTGGAAACCTTCTGTGGCCCCCTACCACCCATGCAACCAAGCTGGACTCGCTGGCCTGGCGCTGGGAGGCTCTCTCCACTCTCAGCCCAGCCTGGTCCCCCACTCCCAGCCTCACGCAGCAGCCAGTCCGACCTGCTGGCAGACCCCAGCTCCCTCCTGTGCGCTCTCCTTTCATGCCTTTGCTCGTTCTAGGCCCTTCTGCACCTGGTTCAAGTTCGCCCCATCGTTCAGGGCTGCCTCTAAAAACCACTTTCCCAATATTCTAGGGATAAAAGTGAAACCTTCTCCTCCTTGGAACCACACGATGCTTTCTTACTTCTTGTGGTTGCTATCAGTTCTTTTTTATTTTTTCGTCCCTCACTCTGATAGACAACCTTTAAGAAATAATTGCTTTCATAGTTATGTAACATCACAAAATGCTTGGGAGAGAGAGGGCTTATGGAAAACAACATTCATAAGCCACTCCCTCACACAGTGAGCAAATTCCAGTGTTGTTGTTGTTTTCTTTTTCCGTGCATCTAATTTTATGCATCGAGCCACCTCTCGGGGCCTCATTATTTTATCTATAAGATGAGAATATTAATGATGGTACCCATGTCACTGACTTGTTCTGTGCATTAAATGACTAAATGAGATAAACACACATCAAGTGCTTAGAATAGTACCTGACACCTGCGTTAGTAATTATCGCAATACGCCCCAGGGCACTGTGAGGAGCCAGAGGGGGGGCCCCAGGCCTGACTCATCCCTGTTCCTGCCACCGTGGGGGCCCCCTCCCCCGCTTCCCCCCTGCCCACGCCTCAGGCAGGCCTGGCGCTGGCTGTGTGAATGAGCAGAGAGGGCAGACCCTTTGCCTGGAATCCTCCCCTCCTCTGTCTGGCCTCATTCATCTGTCAGTTAGCCATTATGCTCCCGGCTAGTGGCAAACAGAGCAAGTTCATTAGAGAAACTGGCATGAGAAGAGTGTGTGAGCGGCAGTCTTTACCCAGGTCAGAGCCTTGCCCAGGGCAGCCAGTCGCAACAGGTGTCCTGTGCGGTGCGGAACCTCCATCCGTGCTCCGTCCCTCTGCAGTAGACCCCGAGTGCGTGGCTGGCTCTGGCCAGCTCTGTAGGGCTTGGACTCTTCCGTTACCGGGGAGTAACACCTCCCCTGCCTAGTCCACAGACGTGGGGAGGTGTCGACTAGCTGACAAACACGAATTTAAGAGCAGGAAGTGCTGAACAAATCTGGAACTTGGTGCATATACCTACAAATGTGTCTATAAAGCAGAGAGGCCATGGCTGGGCTAACATCTGCAGCGGAGGCCAGCTGGGAAAGTCAAGGCCTGTCTGTTTGACCATGAATTCTCAAAGCCAACTGCCTAAGTGAACTTATATTCTCTACTCAAAGGGGATGTTCCTTTCCTTCTCTGGGCCTCAGTTTATTCATCTGTAAAATGGGGGGTGCGATTTCTCTTAATCAGGTAGTGGCTCAGATTGGGATTTGCGAACCATGAGGAGCTCATGGAAACGTTAGAGAACATTATTGTTAGTGATATTATCATCCAGGAAAGGCAGGCTAGGAGAACCCAGGTTTCTAGCCTTGGGAGATCCTACAAAACAGATATCCTGATACCAGCTGTACGAATTCAGCAAGAGAGGCCGCAGCCTAGGCCCATTTATAGCCCTGGAACATACAAGGCAAGTCTTACCAGAAAGTTCTGAGAACTTGTGCCTCTCCCTGAGCCCACTACTCAGGCTCTATGCTTGTCTTTCACTGCTCCTAGCAGACAAGATCCCAAGTAAACCTCTCAGAAGGGACCAGAGAGTGAGAAAGGCCACATGAGAGGACCCCAGGGAGGGAGGATGCAGAAGCTCTATCCCTGGGCCAGAGGAAGAAAGATGTCTGTAGGGGTGTGGCCAGCAGAGCAGGAGGGCCCAGCACAGGAAGGGGTTCGGATGTTACAGGCAAAAAAGGACTCCTGCAGAGGGCAGTGCCCAGACTGAGCTATTCTGTTTTGTAAATAACCTTCATCACATTTGTGTCAAGATAAACGGAGGCTCCCTCCAGCCATCAGCTCACCCACACGATGTTTGAGGGGCCCTTAAGTTTTGCTAAAGACTGTGTTTTATGTGTTCGGCAGGTGTGTGGCTGAGGGCTGTGTGGGGGTGACAGGGCTGGGGATGGTGGGAGGCTGGACAGGCCGAGGAGCTGGAGATTTCAGAAACAGGAAGGAGGAAGCCACTGGCTTCAGGAAGAGGAATGTGGGGAGGAGAGGTTGGCATGGAGGGATGTGGGGATGTTTGGCTCTGTGGGGATAAGGGAGGATGACATGAACCCCTCCTCTACCATCCCAGAAAAATCTCCCATACTACCTGTCTGACCTCAGGGGTGCCCAGACCAGGTGTGTGTTTAGGAATCAAATGGCATTCTTGATATTGGCCCCAAGAGGTATCGCTTCCCTGTCAGATCTGGGTTACATTCTTTTTTCAGGGGAGGTTTTTGTTGTTGTTGTTTGTTTGTTTGTTTGTTGAGAGAGAGAGAGAGCCGGGGAAGGGACAGATGGAGAGGGAGAAAGAGAGAATCTCCAGCAGGCTCCACGCCCAGCACAGAGCCTGACACGGGGCTCAGTCTCAGGACCCTGAGATCATGACCTGAGCCAAAATCAAGAGTCAGACGCTTAACCGACTGAGCTACCCAGGGGCCCCCCATTCTTTTTTTTTTTTTAATACAACATCAGTCCTTCAAAGAGCAGATTCGTGGGTGCTCTACTGGAGATGTGCCCCTGAAAATTCTTGCTCTTTCTTTCATGTGTCACAACGCTGGAAGAGAAGGTATCAGTGCTTTAGTGTCTAACAGAGGTCCCTCCGTCTAACAGTGGTGACCATGTGTGGGACAACTGTCGTGGGCCAGGCCTGTTGCTCCTGTCAGGAGCTTCACAAACAGAATCTTACTTAATCCTCTCCTCAGCTGGGATATTCTTTTCCCACTTGTGGAGATATAAGGAGCTAGAGACTCCACGAGCATGGTCATGCCTGGATTGAGACCTGTCTGTGTGAATCCAAAGCTCATGTCATATCCTTAATGCTCTGGGCAGGGAAAGAGTGAGCCTGGTGAAGGGCACCCAGGAGTGAGGGTAGTGGTGCCAAGCCAGGGATGAGGCTCCATCTGGGAGGGGCACTGTCTGAACCTGCGTGAACTGAAGAATGGAAGGTGGGGAGGCCCCCGCCTTGAAGCCATTGCCCTGGAGCTCGGCCTTTGGAGGGTCACTTCTGGGCTTGTTCAATTAAAAAAGGAGCTGCACAGTACTGGTTACCTCAGCGAATTCTCCCAGGAGCCCCATAACGTAGTCATCATGCTCATCTTGGAGAAGAGGCTCAGGCAGGGGGCATGACAGGTACCAAGTCACACAGGGACTCAGGGCCAGCGCGAGATGAGGGCTCCTCTGTCGCTTGGAAGCTCATGCTCTTGCCGGAAGCCCAGCTGCCTTTAGGAGGCAAGCCTCCCTCCACTGAGTGCCCGCAGGGAGCAAACATCTGTGGCAGAAGATGGCTGGGGGCTCCCGAGCCAGCCGCGGAGCCCCGGCTGAGTGCAGCAGAGGGCTAGGCAAGATGGATGGGGAGCCTCGGAGGCGGTGGAGGGCTGGGGCCCGCGGCGCTGCCACCGGGCAGTGATTGATGACAGCCCGGCAGCGGGAGAAGAGCAGCCAGGCCTCGGGAGGACAGGCCATGAATATTTCAGAGCGGCAGCCGGGGCTGGGGGACAGGGTGTTGGGGGTGGAGGGAGGGAGACGCCCGGCGGGGGGAGCGGGGAGGGGACTAGGCCAGTGAGCCCGAGTTAGGGAAAGACTGACACCAGAGAGGGGGAGCTAGGAGATGGGAAGGGGCTCTCTGGGAGCTCACAAGGGAAGGGGGGCTGTGGAGGGGGAGTGGGCTGAGCAAGGGCCAGGGGGCTAGGGGTGGGACGGACAGTGGGGCTCAGGGGCAGGGGTGGGTGAAAGGGGCTCTATGAGGGAAAGGGGGGCGGGGGCGAGGAGAGGAACACCATGAATGGAACTGAGGGCCTCGGTGAGGGGAGGGCCTCACCAAGGAGGAGGCGGCTCACTGAGAGGTGAGACCGTAGAAGGGGTGAGGACCAAGTGAGGCGGGAGGGCACCGCTGAGGCG